TGTTGTTTTTGGATATCCTACAAAGAGATAAACATATGATTTTGTATCCATCTTATCCGTCTTTTTCTTTAACACATGACGGACACCTTCATACCTGGATGTGGTGTAAATTAGGTTTAAGCTCATTCCACAATTCAAAAGGTGTCTTGCGAACCGATTGTAATGGTACTAAATTCAAGATGTAAATGGCCATTTGTATTTTATACCCCAAAAGAAAATAAGCAACGAGATAGATCTCATCTTGATCTCACCATATCTAAAATAGTTCGATTTTTTATTTTCAAGACATCATTCTGTTGAGGAGTCCTTTGTGCACTCAATTGGGGCAATATCCTATTATTCGATAAGTAGACCTTAAACTCTTGGGGACAGATAATTATTTGACTTATGAATAATTTTGTCGTAACCTTCAAATTTTTTCATATAATTGTAATAACCCCCGTTAATAATTTTATAATATCCAAAATAGATGTGATGTTATCCATAGAATAATCACCCAATTATTTCATTTTAAATTATTCTATATTTTAGATCCAATTTCAATTGATCTAACTTAACGTAACCTTCCTTTAAGGAGATCAGTGTAATTTGATGCTAGACAAATACATATTTTAGCAACAAATTGGAAAATGGAGGACGCCGTGAATTTATACATGCCTACAAATCCTCTCCCACTTATTATTTTAAACCGTTGAATTTTCATTTAATAATTAACCAGCTAGATGCAAACAATTATAGTGGCAACAAATTATTAAATGTAATTTTTCAGATACTTCTAATTAATTTAGAGTGATTAAAAACTATACAATACCAATGCATGTGTTCTAGTGTGCCAGGTAGTATTTTATTTAATTTGCATGACGTATGATAAATATTCACTAATTCATCATCCATAAAGAAATAATTAGAATCATGCTACAATGACATAATATCGTATAGCACTTATTATTGAACTATTTTAAACACATTTAACTTTTTCATTCAATCACATCTTAAGAACTAACCTTATGTACTATATATGTCAACCATTTTCTGCCAAAAGTGGCATAATTGAAATAATTAAATGAATTATATTCACTTACAGTTCATCCTAAGAATTTAAATTAAAACAAGAATTAAAGTATTCCATTGGACCACATTCTGACCTAATTCTTTGATTTCTTTGTTGTCTAATCCATGAAATGTCCAAAATGCGGGGTCATTCGATTTTTAAGTTCCGATCTTTTAAACAAAAACCTTATTCAAAAAGATTAGGCAAAGTCCTAAAGAAAAGCCCCAAAAATTGGAAAACCTTAGCAACACCACCATAGCACCATCACCGACCATCTTTTAAAAGCACCGGCAGCGCCAACCCCAAAAGGGGCCGCCACAGCCGTTGCTGCAAGTTGCAATAGTAATAACCTAAAGTGACAGCAGCTGCACTATCGCCGAAAGCAGCGACTATAGCCAGGGGCAGAGCCAGAATAAAAATTCAGTGTGGGCACAAATTTTATCGACGCTGAACATTGAGTTTTTATAGGGCAATACTATTTTCAATTTAATTCACAATTTCAAAATATCATAGGGCAATACTGATTTCCAAATTCCCACTTCACAATTCACACTTCACAGTGCAATTTCACAATTTCTATTTTCTCGCTAGTCACTTCACAACTCATAGCACAATTCACAATTTCAAATGATATACTCATCCGAATGTTAACAGTTTGATATGGAATTTGAAAATGACACTATACCTCTAGAGTGGAAACACATTCATAATCACCACCATGTTCCCAAATAGCAGTTTTTGTATCAAAACTTTCAGTCACTAATAATTTACCATATGCAAATACCTACAGAGTGCAAGAACATGTACTTAGAGTTAAGAGTTACACAGAAAATGAAGTAACCAACATTAATTGAAAAAAGAATCTATAAATTATAATGGCACAGCTCTAAAGAATAAAGATGCAGAGTCGCAAACACTCAATAATTAAAATAAATCTAAAGTCGGGTTCGACTTCACCTTCTTCTTCTTCTTCTTCTTCAATTCTTCTGCTGCTGTCACCGAAGAATCGCTGGCGTCTCCTTCTGCAACTGGTATAACTCGTAAGTGTTATCTACAATCTAACCCGGCCATCTACGATTCAAACAAATAGCAAACAAGGACAAAAGTAGGGAAGGGGGAGGTGAAGACAGCACTAGGACTAGAAGAAGTAGGCGACGAAGGAGAAGGCGGAGTGGATCTGTGGTTTGTTGATGGAAATATGGAATGGATGACATCGAAGGGATTGAATGTTAAAACTTCAAATGGTTAATGTATTGGGTAAATTAATGGGCTTCACTTCTTGCTTCTTGCTGGACCTGGACATTTGGAGAGTTCAAATAAAAATAAATATGGGCCTTTGTGATGGTGGCCCAAAAGTTCAGTGTGGGCATTTGCCTGCATTGGACGTCATTGGGCTCCGCCCCTGGCTGTAGCTCCCTCACATAAGGTAGTTGCTACATCTGTTTGTCGCAGGGGGGCTGCCGCTCAGCTCCCTCACATGAGGTAGCTATTACTGCTGCTTTCAATCGTAGCGGGGCTACCATCTTCACCTCTAATCTTGGTAGTACTTCCATGGTTTTGTCCTTGTTTGTCCCATTTTACCTTTATTCCAATCTTTCAACAAATATCTCCATGCCATGGGTTTTTCATCTCCAAAACACCAAGCCTCCAAAAAAAATAATAAAATAAATAAATAGCAACATAACAAGGATTTGGAGCCTGAGATTTCATCCTCTTCTTATGATGCAAAAGTGTAGAAACATGGAAAATGAATATATAAAACTCTAATGCCTTATGTCCTACATTGTTCTAGAGAAGAGGTAATAAATAAATTATATTACAATAATGGGAAGGGGATATACTAGAGCCAAAAGTGATTATACGTAAATATCTACTTTAAGCATATAAAAAAATAAACATGTCAAATCAAGTAACCTAGCACCACTTGTACTAAAAATGCATGTTATACTTAATCCTTCTCAAGGATCTATATAACATTAGCTCTTATATCATATGTTGGTTTTTAAATTTAATAACAAGAGAAAATTATTTTTCTTTCAAAGATTAAATCCAAACGGATAATACATCTTAGATCACCTCAAGGTCATTGGATTTTGTTTTTAAATCCTCACACATAAGGATAAGATAATAATCTTGAACGAGGTTTAAATGACCTTCCTCCTTTCTAGTCAAAACTTCCTCCCTAAGATCTTTCGTCTTGTTTCCCACCTTTAGGTGTCCCCCATTTAGAAAAAAATGAGATAATATAGCTAATCCTAAACTTGAGAAATGTGCCTACCAAAGACATATATATAATACTCAATTAGGATTTCATAATTGTATAAATTTTCTTGGACTTTATTGTAGTGGACCAATTAAGTCTCCACTTATAATAGAGCCAATAGTGTGACCTTACTACACTCACAAGGCCCAATCTCCAATTGATATTTCTAATTGGGTCAACTCTTAACCAATTAAAATATATCTATTAATCTCAGCTTACTCTATCAAACTATCGAAATCGCACTCTCAAGTTGAGCGATAATTATGAAAACAAATTAAAATCTGATAACAATATCATTCGATCATCATTCCACAAGTCAACGCTTATTTGATTGTCAATATGTTGAGATTTGACAAATTGATTGTTTTGCCCTTCCAACATGCATATTCCTCCAAATCCTATTTTCATAAGGTAAATCTGTTGTGAACAAATCACAACATAGAATCCAATGATCCCATAGTTAGACTACTGAGCTCAAGTTCAAATGCTTATAGAGAACGTCGCAGAGTGAAGATCGTCTCATCGTAATTATTAACAGATTCCATTATTACTACAAGTATATGATCTCTAACCGTATTCTTCCCGATTCCCAAAGTATCAAGATCGATCTTCCAATTAAGACTTCACTCATTGGTACCTTAAAGAACTTGGACTAGCAATCAGAAATACATTACTCATTCAAAATTTAGGTCACACATTCGATAATCAAGTAGAGTCTCATTTCAAGCATCACAAATGAGTCTTCTACGCGACCCCGTTCAATGTGCACCAAACACATCATTTCTTATTCTTAAGATCTAAACAAATTTTAAAAAGAACAATATAATCTTATCAATATAAAGTGACCAACTTCACATGCCGATTATGAAAGATATATTTGGATCACGTCACAAAACGTGTCTCACTATACTCGAACCATCAAGTATACAATTTCTGACTTCCTACATGATCATGGAACTTTATATGATTGTTACAATTTAAAACTTGCGAATAATCTAGTAATCGAATATTAATTCATAATGTCATTTACAAAATATTACTCGAAGGGCATCAAACTAACACAAACTAAACTTTTTTGCCTCCAACACATAAACATCTTTCAATAGGAAAGTAAATATTTAATGTCAATGTTCTCATGGAAGAGAATAAGAATATACTTTGATCTTTCAAAATGAAAAAGGAATCCCACCGAAAAATATGCCAAAACTGCCCATATTTAGCACTATTTTCAACACTTCGGCTTTCGTTGTTGAGACTTGGGACTTAACCTGAGCTGCTTATGTCCTCCTTCGACTGGATTGTGAATATGTTCCTTCATGATCTTTGTTATTTGAGTTGTCCGTGTCATATTCTGGTGAGTTCGCTGTATTCATACTTTGCAAGAGGGATAACTTACATAGAAAAAAAAAAAGGTTAGGTAATCTTTTCCTATGAATTTTTCGAAGGTAAAAATGTAGGTCACTATCCACAAAAATTTCATAGGTTTTACAGTGTGATCCCCAGAAAATCTGTAGTTAAAAGTGTGCGTTGTTTACCTATGAGACTTCCGTGAGTAAATTTTAAAAAAAAAAACAAAAAAAAAAAAAAAAAAAAAAAGGGCACATGTTTTGTTTGCATTTCAAACGTGCTCTCATGCTTGAAGTATGTTAAAAAAGACGATAAATATGCAAAAAGATATATTATGAGATGAATAAACAATTACCCATCTTGTACCATGACAAGTAAATAAAAGGGGAATTAATTTGGTGGTCTTTGACACTACAAAAACTAATCTTATTTATATATAATTTTATCTACCTATGTTAGAAAAAGAGAATACAAATTTTGACCAAAATCCAAAGTGAATAGGTACTGCCAAAATTGAAAATAATACAAACCGTAAATTGTGAATTTTGTTGAAGAAGTATATATTCAAATTGCGCGAGCTTTTACAATGTCAAGGCTCATTTCACTTGGATCCGTTGCTTGCAATTCAACTTGAATTCCATCCAGCTCCCGCTTAAATCTGTCCTTTGAACTTGCGTACACCATCTTCATTCTCACTTTTGAGGTATCTGGTGACCTTTTAAAACGATGAATTAAGAATTACTTTTAATAAATTTGAATTCGAGTATGGTGTTAACAAAACCCTATGAGCCCTTAAGATTTGTTGAACAGCTATTATTATTATTATTGTTGTTGTTGTTGTTGTTGTTAAAAAAACCCCTCGTCCATCTTCTATCTTGTTTATACTTTTGAGCGCAACATGCACTAATGTGATATTCAAACATTAAATTAAATAAAATAATATACGAGAACTAACCTTGCTTTTTTAATTCCGTCTATTTAATCAAACACAACTAGTACGTCTTAGGTTGCTTACTAAGCCCTTGTTTGGCTCCCTTTCATTGTAATTATTTTTTTTTATTATTTTTTTTTAACGACCCACAAATGTGATGGGATTTAGAGCAACTCCAATAGTAGTGTAAAAATGAGTATAAATTTGCATATTCAAACTAATTTTACATCCTCGTTTACTTTTCAATTTCAAATTCTGCTCCAATGATAAGATTTAAATCCATTTTTTGCTTATAGCGGATGTAAAATTTTCATCTTTTTACATTTTAAAATACAATTTACATCTCCATTGCATCTCTCGATTGGAGAGATTTTAGGCCGCTTTTTAGATCTCTTTTACACCACCATTAGAGATGCGAGTTAATTTCCCAAATCGTTACTGAACTTTGCCAAAAAGTTTCCAAGAGGTTACCGAATTTCAAAACTTTCCTAAATAGTCACTGAATTTTGTAAAAAGTTTTCAAAAGGTCATCGAACTTCAAAACTTCCCTAAATAGTTACTGAACTTCGCAAAAACTTCAGTGACTATTTAGGGAAGTTTTGAAATTCGCTGACCTCTTGAAAACATTTTGACAAAGTTCAGTGACTATTTGGGGAATTAACCCTCGGAGATGCTATTGCAACTTTCATCATCTTTTCAACTTACTTATCATCAACTGTTATAAAAAATTACTAAAAATCTAATTCTTATCCAAATCAAACATAGGTTAAATGAGACGATTTATGATAATTTAAGTATCTTACCATGCAATAAAGAAAATCTTGCTCTTTTGGACATTTTCATCTGTGGTGAAGTCAAAGTCGTAGACAGCATAACGACACTCATTAGCCGGCAAAGCGGCTGTGAAATCGTCGTAGGTGTCGCCGGGACTGCCAAGTTTATCCACCGCAACCTGCTGACCCTCAATCCTGAAGATAATGTAACGGTGGTTTCTTTTAGCTTTTAATTCCAGAAATTTCAGCTTGCACTCATCTTGCACTGCCATTCCGGATGCAGCATTCGCCTGCCCCCACAAAATATTAACAACAAGCCAAGAAAGAAAAATTATAAAATGAAATAAAACCACTCGATAGTATAATCGTCTTTGATCAACTCGACTAATGATACGATGTATCGTATTGTAGTATAATTAATACAAGTATGTTCCTGTTCGAGCCGTATATCATGCATGAATTAGCTTTTTCTTGATAAATTGAAGATGGACTATGCCCTTGTTTTATAGAAATTAAAATTTAGATTTTTATAAAAATCAAAATCAACAATTAATTTTAAACAGATATTTCATGAAACTCACAGTTTTTCAACCACAGATTTTATCTACTTTTATCAAAATTTGCTGAAATTTTTATTATAATGTTCACTAAACAGGGACTAGATGAATCACTATTCATACATTGCAAAGATAAAACAAAATAAATTAATTTGCATAAATTAATGTATCCAACAATTTATAATTGTTAAAAGCAGTTATTTACATAAAAACGAAATCTTGAATTCTTCTAAATGAATTCAAGTATGAATCCTTCATACAATTTTCATCAATATATAATTCTACGAAGCAATTAATTTGCAAGAACTTAATAATTATATTAAATATCCAACAATTTAGGATTGTCAAATATAATTATTCACAACTTAGAAACCTAAATCTCGAATTATTTTAAATGAATTTATGAATATGAAATATTCACAAAAATTACTATCATATGTGATTTCGAAAAGAAAATAAGTTGTATGAAATTAATAAATACCCACAATGTATAGTTTGTCAATGTCAATTATTTGCATATTAGAAACCAAAATCTCGACTTCTTTTAAATGAATTCAAACATGAATCATTCTTACAAATTTCAATCAACATCTAATTCCACAAAACAATTAATTTGCTTGAACTTAATAAATAACAAACATGATTTCGAAGGAAATTAATCAATGCCCAACAATTTCATGATTGTCAAAAACTATCATTTAAAAATAAATAAATAAATAAATTCTACAAATTTCTATCAATATGAAATTCCAAGAAATTAATAAATACCCAGAATTTCTAATTATCAAAAACAATTATTTACATATTAAAAAAATAAAATAAAATAGGACCCTCGAATGCATCTAGACGAATTCAAATATGAATCATTTATAGAGCCTAGAGGGGTGGCGGGTGGGGTCGGATAGAATACCATCGTGTCTTCTAAATAGGGGGTAGAAAAAGCTGCAAAATGAGGAGAAAAATAGAGATCCTATGGATCCTTGAAGTAAAGAAAATAAATGACAAGTTGGGTAGTTTATAAATGGAGAAAAAATCGCGGGGAATGAGAGAAATTCGAGGGATAAAATGAAGGTTAAGAATTCTCTTAGCCCATTTTAGGTTGATAGCTTCCCTCCCATAACCAACTCTTTTCTTTTCTTCTACAATTATATTTACCCAATATATTTAGATGTTTTTCCTTTTATTTTTATTTAGTATTTTGATAATCAGACCAGACATTGACCCGAAAAAAAAAAATAAAAGAAAGGAAAAAAGTAAAGAACAAGAACAAGAAGAAGGTCAAAGATCTAAGGATCAATCGAGGTTAAATTGGGATTGATCCAAAAATTAAATTAAGTAAATAAAAAAAGTCTTATGCAGATTTGACTATTTAAAAAAAAATTACAATATAAATATATATTTTTTTAAAATTCAAATTAAGCTTAGACTATTTTCAGTTTTTAACATTTGTTAATTATTTTTTTTTTAAATTATTTCATCCTATAAAAACTAAGCGGGACCAAAGATTGTCATAACCCTACGTATAAAATTAAAAATAAATAGGACCAATAAGATTATAACTGAACTAATTAGAGAAAATATATAACTACAAATATTTCAAAATACATTTTCACAAATAACAAACTTAGTGGAATTTTTTCAAAAATAGTGGTCACATTATGTGACATTAAATATTATGATCTATAATTAAATTAAAAAGTTCATGGCCATGATACACAAAATTTATGATCACAATCACATATTAGTCACAAATTATATAAGGTTACAGTTATACAGATACAATTTATAAGTTACAATCTGTAAGTTACAATCACGTATTTAAATTACAAATCACACATTTAATAAAACACAAATTATTTTTTAGTCGCAAATTACCTCAATTAACTAGTCACAACTATTCAATTAACCGATCACAATCACTCTTCATCTCTCTTCATCCTCACTCCAACACCATCGTTACAATTGAAATCAATGTCGTCAAAACATCAAATCCACAATCCACCAGCGCTACTTGCACCTCATCCACAACCATCGAACTTCATCTTCACCTCAAATCCACCAGCAACTCCACCATCCAAGATACTCAAAAATCAGCCCATCTAGTCTAACCACAATGAAATCCTTGGGCGGAGCTCTAATTACAGTAGCTATGTCATCATCAAACATATAATGGTACAATTTTGAAAACCTCTAACTCTGTCGAATTTTCCTCTCCTTTACCANTTTATGCGTTTTGTCCTTTTTTTTTTCAAGCTAGTCGAAAAACTCGATAAATTTGTGTTCGGTTCATTGGTTTTCAGTCGTTTTTACCGATTTCTATATTATTATCATGCTACAAATTAACTTGTCATTGAATAGATTCACGAATTTTTTGATTGAAGCAAGCCGGTTGGATTTTCATTACATTATTATTTTTATTTAGGAAACAGTTTGATGCAATAGGTTTTATTAGTCGAATTTTGACAAACACATTTTTGATAAAGTAATAAAACATAGTAATAGGCATATCAATTTTATTTGGTCTATTTGATCCACTTGATACTCAACAAGGAATAAGAACTTAAACTATATGTAATATATATTGTTGACCTCCAAATTCATTGAGGCTGAACCGTAAACAAATCACGGCTTATATTTCCATCCATATATATGTGTTACCAGCACAATTAACACTGGCGCTAGACTACGTGATCATAGCTCTGACTGGTGCGATGATCTCAAGCACTCCAATGTTTAAGTCAGACTGTCCAAAGATATTGGGTGTGTAAAAGACACAATGGAAGAAATATATACGGGTTTTGGGTTTTTCTTCAGTATGGTTCGAAGTTCAAAATAAGATGACCCTGGCAAATATAGTTTAAGTATTTACACCAGGAAAGAAGAGTTAGGTCTATTGGATACTTGATACGTGACTTTATCCTAACAATTCACATTTCAAGCTAAATCTTGTTGTTGCGGAAGCTCTCTCAAAAGGATCTTCAAACGGTGGTTTTCCAGGCTCAGTCCAACGTACCTTTCTCTGCCAACAACCAATCCAAACGGCTCCAAACCACAACCAATTGATTCACCTTGATTGCTATTCAATCTTACCCACGTAGGACAAGAAGGGATGATAATTTATCGCCACAAAGGCTAAGAGAAGACACCACAAAGGTATACTATGAAAAAACTACCAATTGCACACGTTATACAAGCGTTTTGGACACTTCTGGACACCTTTTTCTCACACTAAAGGGGGGCAGCCGGGATTCACTAGTTTCTTCTCTCAAAATCACACAATCATCATGTCAAAGAGGCTAAAGTTATATTCATATATATACTTTAGGGTTAGGCTTTAAGTTGGGCCATTAAAGGGGTAAACGGGTCAAGATTCAAGCTATCCATAAGGAATACAATTGGGCCGAGTGTAGTTCATGGACTTGGTTGTTGGATTTATTTCATTCATCGGTCTATGCCTATGAAATAATATTAACCCACGTTAACATCATAGCTCGGAATTTATTGGGTATCAAAAAAACCCAACACTTGTCAACTGTGTCAGTTCGAAGTTGTCATACACCAGCATCCACCTTAGCCTATGTAGGCTGAAAGTTGTCTAAAAAGTTATGAATAGCAGTATTTTTGTTGAATTTTCCCACCAATTGTTCAATCAAGTGTACTGTATGAGATGAAACCATTAAAAAGGGCCCATTGTTGAAGACGCCAATCACCTCAAAAATTTCCAACAATAGTATCACCTTGAAAATAACACTTAGAACGAGATGTACAAAGGCTTTACCCAATTGTCCAATCACAGAAGAGGGTACATGTGAAGGGGCGAGGAGAAGTTGAGCAGGAACTTTACTAGCCTCTTGCTTTGCTTTTGCTTAGCTGCTACCACATGGCCTGCCTTGTAGGTCAAGACGTTACATTAGTCCCCCAATTTCTAGTCATGAATATCTACACAAGGCATGAACTTTGATAAAGTATAATCATCTCATAAGGTAGGGGCTAGCAAAGCAAGCAATAAGCATAGGCATCTAAATAGACGAAATATATCGTGAAGCAAAGAATAAGAATAATCATCTCTCTAGATGGGGCATCTTGAGAGACAATGTTATGCAGAAAAATTAGAAGAGAAAATCAATAATCAATTGAAGAGTAAACTAAGAAGAATCTATGAAACGAGTGTACTTTCAGCTCGAGTGTCGTTTCAGCTCGAGTGTCAAATTTTCACATGTGAGTACAATCTAAAAGAGTTTTTTTATTTTGTACAATTTAGTTTGGTGAAAATTTGCCCAAGGCCAACATCGTAAAATTATAGTCAAATTCTATCGTTTAGAGGTCCATTTTAACATTTTTTATTTTGAGTCAATTTAAGGATATTTTAGTTATTTTTTTAGATTTATTCAAATTTTTGTCTGCCGAATCAGGATTTTAATTTTATTAGGTTTCATTTTGACTCATTAAATATGCTAAAGGTTTGAAACCCTACATTCACTGTTTGATTAATAATATTTTAATTTTCTCGTTATTTGGTGGATGCTAATAATTCTCACGCCTGTTCAAGCGAAAGTCGAGTAGCACCTATTCGTATGTTAAAAACAAGAACCTTCATTATTATTCATGTTTTCGTCCTGCTTCACATTGAATGATGCTTTTAGATTCTAGATGAAATGGTAGCATAACTGAAGAGACAACGAAATAAATGATGAAGAGACAAGATGATGAACCAATTGTCTATATTTATTACCCGTACGCATTTAGAGGTGATACTAGGTTAGTGTGAATAGTCCTTCTAGTCCAAGAGTGAATATCATTTAAGGCATGGGCTCCAAATAATAGACGAAGCATGTGAGCCGAAGTAAATGAGTCCCAATTCAGGTACGAAGCTCTCTTGCTTGCGAGATCCCATTTTTTAGGATTGGAGCTCTCTTACGAAGCTAAATTCCCATTTTTAAGGGACTAGTAAAGGAAAAAACTTGAAAATAAAAGTCTGAGGTAAAGAGCCTTTGCATGTGAAGTGCTGCATTGGCCATTACTGCTCATCTTTCAAAATGACAATGATGGCGCACGTGCTGATCATTAAAAGGTTGAATGTTCCCAATGCACATGCATTCGTAGGATAATAAATGAAAATGATGAGCTAGGATGTTATTTCAAGGTGCACTTGAATATATGGATGCATCTCATTCTTCCTTTTGAATTTCAGCCCCTGCTTGGCCCCATTCTCTCTCTTCTTCTTTTTTTTCCTGGATTATATTTTCAATCATACAATTTTTTATAAAATAATATCACACATAAATTAAAAAAATTTCATTCTTTTTCTATCACACATTCTTCAAAAAAAAAAAATACTATTTTAAATATTAAAATTTAGAAAAAAAAAAATTAGGGCCATACGAGAGCTCAAATTGATGTGCCTTTTTATTCTAGAAAAAAAGCCCCCTATCCAGGGTTGAGAATAGGGAGAAAAACAAGGGTGCCATGTGGAGTCAAGATTTAGCAAGAAAACCTCCTTGATATATTTCAACCCTTGCATTCTTCTTTCTTTTGTTTTCTTTTTCATTTCCTTTCTTCTTAAAAAATAAAAAAAAATACCCACCTCCGTTGAAATAGCACGAAACTCCAACAAGACGTTCGATCTAAAAATCAATGAAGGGAAAACAACTTCAGGTTTAGTTGAAACTATGTTAGATACACTAATCATTATCTCTGGGGTCAGGGGCGGACGCAGACATTTTAGACTAGGGGGTCAGTAATGAACTTTTAAAAAAGTGATGAAAAATCAAAATAAGATATATCTTATTACAATTGCTCTCTACGTGTTTCATACTTTGATAACGTTCCATAATTACATCATTTTCAATCTTATCAAAAACATCTTTCTCAATATATACAATCAAACTATCAATCAACCATTGATCTCCGATTCGATTGCGCAGACGATTTTTGACGTAAGTCATCGCAGAAAATGC